AATTTACAGGCATACACACTGTGCTGGTTTGAGTGAGAATGTCCCCCATAGGCTCCAAATATTTGCATATTTTGTCCCCAGTTGGTGGTGGTATTTTGGGGGAGTCTTAGAAAGTGTGGCCATGCTGGAGGAAGCACATCACTGGGGATGGGTTTGGAGAGTTTGTAAGCCTTGTTGGATCTCGAGTCACTCTCTTGCTTCCTCTGCCTGCTTGAAAATGTGAGTGTTCTGCTTTCTTCCCCTGCCACCTCTTGCAACCATGCCTCTTCGTCATGACGGACTGTAATTCCCCTGGAATCATAAACTCAAATAAACTCTTCATTCTATAAGTTGCTTTGGTCAGTGTTTTTATCACAACAACAGAAAAGTAACCAATACATCCATATGCACAAACACATTTATTATGATCCTATACAAACATACACATACACAGTCATGATCATGTGTGCACACAGACACACACACAAATGTGCATTTGCAGCCATACATTTCCAAACATTCTGTTTATGGCAGTGTTGCAGTCAGCAGATGCTACCCTTGCTTTACTTTTATTTAACATGATTATTCTTTTTCTTTCACAGTCCACAAGAGTTTGACAAAGGTTTCTTTGATTTTGAAACAGAGGATTTACTGTCGAAAAGCCACAACACATATGAATTAGGCTATCCTTCATAAATTTAAAACTCATCTACATGCTAGAATCACCCAAGGAGCTTCAGAGGAACCTTAACGAAGAGGCGATGCTCTGAGAGTATTGATGAAGTCCTGTGAGGCAGAGCAATAGTTCAGATTCTATAGAGAAACAGAATGAAAAAAGTTTGTGTTTATAGTTTCAGAAAAGATTTATCATAAGGAACTGGGTTGTGCTGTTTACTGAGCTGCAGCTGGGGTAAGTCCAAAAGGAAGCCTGGCAGCCAGGGACATGAGGCAGCGAGACACAGATGAAGACTATGCTGTACAAGAGAATGAGGGAGGCTGCTGTCAGTGTGCTGTTCAGGCTTCCAGATGATGGGAAGAGCACTGTCCCTGTTATGGAGGGGGAAGGGCAAGGCCTCCGATATGGAGGGCATTTGCTGTAACTTAACGCTCTCCAAACTTCAAACTTAGTCCTATTCAAACCTCCCTCCACACTGACACACAGAATCCACCTCATAATTACTCTTTATCAATTTGGCATCTGTATGCATCTTCTTAAACTTTCATCTGCAGATAAAGACAGTGCACAGGGTCCTGCTTGTGTTCAATACAGCACAGTCTTCTGTGTGGAATCCAGAAAGGCAGAAAAGTCCTTAGCTAACGATTAGGCTTCTTGCATCCCTGTAACTTAGAAACTGTGATATAAAGTTAACAATACTGAAACAAAGTGGTTCACAGAAAACCTATCATGTATAATGTGAAGGGAATGGGGGGACTGAAGAAATAAAGAATGAAGGATGATGATGACAGATAGATAAATCATAAACACATAGCGTTGACGTATGCTCCAAACACCTCTGTAACAATATATGGAAGAAATGACACGTAGAGTCCTCATTTCTGTCTAGTGGCATGGTCAGTTAATGGCACTTACAACTTTCTTTTATGGCTCCTTTGAAGTTATCAAATATCTCAACTGAACCTTGTCTTTTCTTTTGGGCTATAGGAAGGACAAAATGCACAAATCATATGTTACAGGGATAATTCCATCGCCATCCAAAGTGCTAAGCTGAGTGAAATCAGCATGTATGGCTCCTACCTGAGGACCCTGCTCCTTATTGCATTTAAGTTTCCAAGTTCACCATCTATTGCTCCTGCTGTGATGTCTGGCCTGCTGGGAACAGCAACCTCGGATCTCTGAGCATCGTAGTGCTTCCCCCAGAAAACTCTCACAGCCCTGGCGACAGGCGTGTGTTCTGCACACTTCCATGTGGCTAAATAGGTCTTCAATGTCAAATCACTCTAACCTTGTAATCTCCCTGAGCCCTTGAATCCTTTCTTCCACATCCAAGAAAATAGCATTTCAAATTTCCTTACTGTGCACTAATCTGTCCATTTGTTCGGGCATGCAAAAATAGAAAGTCCTTTCTATGTGTACCATGAACATGGAATATGTGCTGAGTGGACTTGATTTGATAGAGTAGCTGTATCCAATTCTACATCCAGTCCAGCGTTAGCACACACCCATTATACACGTTCCCACCTCTATGACAGATTTCTGTTTTAAGTCCATGAACTTCAGTAGCTCTTGATAAACATAGCACACCTCCATTTGGGCTTTGCTTCACACCCAACTTTGCATGCTCCTGGTACTGAGCTTATTCTTAGGTTTGGAAGGTGGTGGGATGAGGGTCCTGAGAGGCAGAAGCTGCTTTAGGGGAACTATTTGTGCTTTCCCAGACTAGTCAGGGTTAACATTCCCAAGCAAGGGCAGACAGGCTGAGTCTACTGGCGGGGAACATCCTCAGAGTTCAGTACGCAGTCTCTCCTCCTTCACAGGGTCTCCTGAGCTCATGCTTTTCTGTTCCATTTTTGTCCAGTAGCATTGGAACAACCAACCTGCCTCACTACATTCATTTGATAAAAATTTTAGAAGTATCATTCCAGGGACACACAGATTCTTGCTTTTTATGAGCGTGTAACTGTGATTTTAGAATGGTGATAGAGGTTGTGTTTCTCTGTTGCCAGATCAAACACATGCTGAAACAAACCAATCAGGATGTTTAAATCTAATCAAATTAGGAAGAAAATTTCAGAAACTCAAGGTTCCACTAAATAATTCATTCTTATGATTCTTTCCCTCTAGAATCACTCATGGCATCAAAATCTGCATTGGTTAGAGCTCTCCAGAGCATCAGAAACAATCAACAATCAAAGATATATTTGTATATAGAATGAGAAACCAAACTTTTGTGCTATCTGTGTCTTCAACTGATTGCATGAGACTCACCCATATTGTCATTTCAGTGTCAGCTTCATCATAACACACTCCATGGTAGCATCATGTTAAGAGGCGCAAAAGGGCCCCATGGAGTTGCTTCTCCTTTCCCTTCTCCCAACCTTCGCACTTCCTGCTCTTCACCAGCTTCCTCTTCCTTTGCACAGAGTCCAGGTTGGAGAACTACTAGATCCTGAAGTTTGGGAGAAAGTTTACTGAGAAAAAAATAATCAGAACAAATAACAAATCCACGATGTTTGGAGAATTAGAAGGGAATCCTTTTATTTAAAAAAAAATCATTTAATCTTTTGTCTCTCAAACAATATTTTAGCAATATTTTTAGGATTTTTCAGAGTAATTACATTTTCCCCCTTTCCCCTAAAGCAGAAGTTAAATTGGTGCTGTGCCCTTCACAGAATGAAGAGAAAGGATGTTGTCAGGCTCAGGCCCTCTCGGGGAGTAGAGATTACATTTATTTCAAAGGAAGTGTACAAGTTGCCTTTTTTGGTCAGCAGGCAGCCTACTAAAATGCTTATTTATCAGAAGGTGAAAAGGCAGGATCCATGTGTATAGATTGGTGCTTAAGGCTGACAGAAGAACAGAGAGACGATGAAGCTAAAGGATCTAGAAGTATCCGGGCACAGTCAGAGTAAATAAGCACTGCAGGCCCCACGGCTACAGCCGAGGATCGAACGAATGGCAGCTGTGCGTTGTCTGGGGCGATTATCCAGGAAGAGGGACAGGATACTTTCTCAGCAGCAAATTTTCGGAATAGCACCATGATTTTTCTAATCCCAAATAACATGAGCTTTTTACAAATAGTGAAGTCACATATTTTGAAATTTACTGCACTGACCTGACTCAGAGTTCTAGTTCACTACCCTGCTTCATATCACTGGACTAAGTAGAATCTCTGAGATAGGAGTATAACATAGAATTTTAAAATCAGCGATGGAAAGAATCTGACAGACTACAGCCATTTGATCAATGGCTGTGGAGAATTAAGGGTTCAAATTTTCAAGGCCCCTCATTGTTGAAAATTAATTTTTAGGTTTTAGAGGAAAACACTTTTGAAACAACTCTTGACGTCTCTAATGCCATAAAAAATTTATAGCCACTTTTGAAAGAGATCTATCTTTGCTCTGGAAATTGTTATTGAGTATCTTAGAGCTGTAATGAAATGCTTCTTCTAAAAAAAAGAGAGGGGGTGGGGAGATTACTCAGCGGTTAAGAGCACTGACTGCTCTTGCAGAGGATCGAGGTTCATTCCCAGCACCCACATGGCGGCTAAAAACTGTTCTTAACTCCAGTTCCAGGGGAATCGGAAGCCCTCTTTTGACCTATGCGGCATTGCATGACACAGGTGCTCTCACATACATGCAGGCAATACACTCATACACATAAAATAAAAATAATAAAATATTTTTAAAATAAAAAAACTATTAATGAAATTATACTTAAATGAATTTCCACGCGATGTCTTTTCATAATTGAATTCATAGATTTTGAAGGTCCCAACATTCATTCAGTGTTATAATTCAGCTAGCAGCATCTCTGTCCATGGTCAGGTGTGAGCAAGTCTGTGGTTGTGAATCACATCCCCTATGAAGAATTGTGACCTACTGGGAAGGCGATATCAACCATTTGTGTTCACCTAATCATCCTGAAATGTGGAAAATACATAGATTCCACCCAAAACTAATGAGAAACCAGAGCAAACACAACACATTCTTTGCCCTTTTCTGTTCCAAAGATCCTTGTTTGTTTGCTTGTTTGTTTATTTAACAGGGTCTCAAAATTACATAGCTCTGCCTGGCCTGCCACTTGCTATGTAGACCAGGCTGGCTTCAAAGTCACAGAGTACTGGGATTAAAGGGTATGTGCCATCATGCCTGTCTTGTTATTTTACCTTTCTTTTTTTAAAAACTTATTTTCGTATGTGTGTGTGCATGAGTAGCTGCAGGTGAGTGCAGTGCCATCAGAGATCAGAAGAGGGTATTGGATCCCCTATAGTTTGGAGTTACAGGTGGTTGTGAGATGTCAGATGTGGGTGCTGGGAATCAAACTCTGATCCTCTGCAAGAGCAGTTTGTACTCTTACAAGGACCTATCTCTTCAGCCCTATGTTATTATTATTTTTTTAATACCTTTACTTTTAGACAGTGCATTAGTTAGGATTCTGTATAGGAACAGAACTGATAGAATGAACATAAAAAAATCAATGTATTAAATCAGTTTAAGTTGAAATGTAACATTTCTCTCAGAACTGAGAGGCTGGGAACCTGGTAGTTGCTGAGTCCTTAAACTGGGTGTTGCAGCCATCCCAAATTGTTACCAAAAACCTTGTCAGGTTCCTGAACTGCCGCTGACCGTTAGTCAATGATGGGAAGGCTGGAAACACTGGTTTTGATGTAAGTGAAGGACTCAGCAGTGGCAAGAGGGTAAATTAAGTCTGTGGTAAAAGGAAAGATCAAGCCAGCAAAAGGTGATCAGTCTTCGGCTGCCACGCCCCCTTTTTATCTGGGTTCCGACCAGATGGTGCTGCCCGCATTTGAATATGTCTTATCAAATCAGTTAAGGCAATCAGAAAAGTTTCTCAGTTGAGGCTCCCTATTCAGGTGGTTCCAACTGGCATGAAAATCAATCATCACAAGCAGTTCAAGTTCACAGCAAAGCTGTGAACAAGACACAGAACTCACTGTATCCTCCCTGCCATGTGCCTGTGGAGCCTTCTGAAGTACCAACATATTGGTTTGGACAATTGCCCAGTGACATCCCTCACCCTTTTAGTAACTTTCAAGAGTTTCATTGCTGGAAAAAATCCTCTGTGCTCCACCTACGCATTCCTCTCCCACGCACCCACCCAGCCTTTGTCTTCAGTTTTGCCTTTCCCAGAATGCCGTATGGTTGGAGATATGTAGGAGAGAGGTCCAGTCTGGCTTCTGAACATAGTTACCTAACTTAAGGTACCTCTGTGTTTTTCCAAGACTTGATAACCAGGCTGATTCCATTTGATGTTCAATTTCGGTCCACACTGAAGACTGGGAGCACTGGGCATGGTCACAGGAATACTACAGCAAACAGAGGCAGAGGCGTACTTGAAGCTTTGTTTTCTGGAGACCAAGAGACGAGGCTGTTCTACAACGTAGAGTTTTGGAGTTAGAATTACAAAAGGTCCTGAAAGGAGAGCACAGCGCCGCGGCCTGCCTGGCCTTTTCAATCACCATAAGGTCAAGGGCAGGAATAAAATAGAAGGAGAGCACAGCACCGCCGCCTGCCTGGCCTTTTCAATCACCATAAGGTCAAGGGCAGGAATAAAATAGTTTGATTCAGTATAAAAAAATGTGAAACGTTAAATCATTGCCCATGAAGCCCTGGTGAACTCCCTAATCCCTAAAGAAAGCTGGAGAAGCAGCAGGGGTGGAATTGGCAGTCGGTTCTCACAGGATTGTTATTTAGTGTCAACTACATCTTGCAGTGTTCTTGCCACTGTGGACACCAAAAACAGAGTTCCCTCCCTCCTCCCTAGCCCCAAGGAGAAGAGGTAGGTAGTGAGCAGTTACACAGATAAATAGATAAGATTAGGTAGTGAAAACTACTAAGAGGAATCAAATGGTGTGATGATCTAGACAGCAATGGAGGTTAAAGGATGTGTAACACCAGGGATGGCCAAGGGAACTTAGTAAGGAAAGAGCAAGCACACTGAGGGGCAGATGGAGCAGCCGGGCAGGGCTGGGCAGGCAGGGCAGAGGAGTAAGGGAAAGTCTGGATGATGTGTTAGCTCTCTGCCACTGTGACACAACATCTGAAATAATTCA